GGACATTTATTTAAACTAAAAAAAGTCATGAGTAAATTCATGAGAGACAGACAAACTGTTCTTCACTTTAAAAGACCAATGACACACAATTGCTAAATACTACATGTGATCTTTAATTTGAAAGGGAATGGAAAGTTGGCTAAGGAGCTGAATGGTTACAGGAAAAATGTGGCATCAAAATTTTTTGAGAGTGGTAATGATGTTAGCTTTATTCCTTGTTCTCAGGAAATGTAGATTCCAAATTTAGGGATGAAAGTTCATGGTATCTGCAATCTATTTAAATAGATTAGCAAAAACAAAGTTTACATAAGCAACAGAATGTATATATCTTTTTCCTGGATGTATATAATGATTATATTACACAACACAGTCATTACATATTTTTATACTATTTATATTGTACCTATGATATGTGTATATATAAACACACACACATACAAATAAAGCAAATGTGGCAAAATGCTAACAATTAGTGAAGCCATGGGTGTTCTTTTGACACTTATGAAGAATTTTCATTTGGGTATAAAAATTTTAAAATAAAGTGGGGAAAAAAGCCAGTCAGCTCTATGAATGAATCCAATCTGACAAAAATTATTTTTTATATGTAACAGAAAATATTTAGCCCTAAAGTTAAATGACTCAATGACAAAAGACAAAAATAAAATACTATCTTTTTTTTCTTGTTTTTAACGATACTGTGGCTTAAACTCAAGGTGCTTGCTGGGCAGGCACTCTACCACTTGAGCCACTTGAAATGCTCTTTAAAACTACAATTAAGTAGCATTTAATAAATGAAAATGTATAATATATGCACTTCTTACTTTAACACTTTCTTTTTTTTTGGAGGGGTGAAGATGGATAGATATTTAGTTAACTCACTTGTCAAAGTTAACTGTTGTGAAAACAGAACGATTCTATTTTAATCAGTCCTAAAATGATTCATAATGAGCCCTGAAATTCAGGAGAAACGATACTTTACTTTTAGATACTTGTGTCATTAAGAGAAAGAGTGACTTTGGAATTAAGGGCTAAATAAAGTCACAACAGGAAATCACCCAAATCAAAAACCAACTGACCTGAGGCCTTCAAAAACAGCAAATTCTGTATGATTTCTATGTGTGTGTTGATGTTACTACATTAAGTTGGTGGACATGTTTGTACAAATTTTCTATAAACATTAGAAATAATTATTTGAAAATTATTAAGAGTTTAGTGTTACTCAAATCATAACTTTGGGCAGAGCATTTAAGGTATCCTCATGTGATTCTTTTTGTAATTATAAAAGAAATACAGGCTCATTTAAAAAATTTCAAAGGTTACTCCCCCTGCCCAGTCTCTCTAAGATAAGGATTTAAAATTTTAGATTACCTTCTATATTTTCTTTTGTACTCATTATTTCATCTTTGTGACAAAATATCTGACAAAAATGACCTAAGGGAAGAAAGATTTATTCTACCTCATGGTTTCAGAGGTGTCAGTCCATCATGGTGGGGAGGGTGTTGTGGATCACAGCAGTTCCCATCATGCAGCCAGGAGCAGAGAAAAGGCTATGTTTTCTTCATTGTATATAAAACTAAGTAAGATTGTTTACTCTTGTTAATAATTTCAACATCTGTGAATCTATAAATGTGATATAGCACATTAAGAGAATGAGGGGGGGAACTCTCAATAAATGCAGAAAAAACATTTGACAAAATTCAACATCCTTTCATAATAAAGACTCCCGACTACCTAAAGGAATAAAAGGAATGTATCTCAACACACTAAAGGCCTCACAGGACTAACCTGAAGCTATTAAAATACTCAACAGTGAAAAGTTAAAAGCTTTTCTTCTAAGATCAGGAACAAGAAGAGAATGTCCACTCTTGCCACTTCTATTCACACAGTTTAGTCAAGCACCACAAAATGTTTTAGTCAATAGTGGACTCCATACATAACAGTGGTCCAAAAATATCATAATGGAGTTAAAAAATTCCTACTGCTTAGTGATATAGTAGCCATTCTAATAATGTTTGAACAAAACACATTACTCAAGCATTTGAGGTGTTACTGATACGAACAAACCCTGTGCTGCCGTCAATCAAATGAAACTACTAATGTACAGTTATATTCAGCACATAATACTACATAACAGTAATAAATGACTATGTTTCTGTATTTAATATACTATATGGTATACTCTTATCACAATTTTAGAGAGCATTTATTATGGTTAGGATCATAAATGTCCCCAAAGGTCCATATGTTAAAGGTTTGGTAATCAGTCTGTGGATTGGGAAGTAGTGGAAGCTTTAGATAGTAGAACCTAGTGGAAGGAAGTTAGATAACTGGGGTATGCACTTCAAGGAGATATTAAGACCTTTTACTCTCCTCTCCCATTCACTTTTTGCTTCTTGACTGCCATGAAATAAACAGATCTCCTCCAACGCATGTACCTGCCATTGTGTACTCCATCACCACTAGCCCAAAGCAATGGGGTCAAGCAACCATATACCTCTAAAACCAAGGAACTCTTTTATTATTATTATTATTTATTTTATTCAGATGTGCATACAATGTTTGGGTCATTTCTCCTCCCCTTCCCCCCGCCCAACCCCCTTGCTACCAGGCAGAAACTGTTTTGCCTTTATCTCTAATTTTGTTGAAGAGAGAATATAAGCACTAACAGGAAGGACCAAGGGTTTTTGCTTGTTGAGATAAGGACAGCTATACAGGGAGTTTACTCGCATTGCTTTCCTGTACATATGTGTTACATTCTAAATTAATTCTTCTTGAACTAACCTTTTCTCTAGTTCCTGGTCCCCTTCTCCTATTGGCCTCTGTCGCTTTAAAGTTTCTGCATTAGTTCCTTTGTATTGAGGACATCAATGGAACTCTTGTAAGATGGTGTTTTCAAGTCTTTTATTACAGTGAAACCAAAATTAATGTAGCACTCCTTCCTATTGTTTTTTTAGTTTACTACATTGTTATGCAAGCTGCAGCCCCATACATCTCATATTTGCCACATCAAGTCACTGACCTATATCATCTTAATTTGTATAACTGTGCTCTGTCATGTTCACACAACGAAATCACTAATGACCTGCTTCTCAGAGCATATCTCTGACACTAAGAAACTTATAAACGCACTAAGTCCTAGACAGAAAAACTGGGCAAGAGAAATAAAAGTCACTCAAATTGAAATGGAAAAAGCCAAACTGTCCTTGTTTAAAGATGGTATGATTTTATATATAGGAAACCTAGACTGCACAAAAAACTGTCATAACTAGTAAACTCAGTAAAGTTGCAGAATATATATACTTCTATGTGCTAACAAAAAAACTGACACCCTTCTACAATCTAACAAGAATCTATCCAAACAAGAAAAACTTAAAAACAATCACATTTATAAAAGCTACCAAAACCTTGTGAATAAATTTAACCAAGGAGGTAAAAGACCCATACACTGAAAACTGTAAAACCCTGATTAAAGATACTGAGTAAGTTCAAATAAATGGAAAGACATATCATGTTCACAGATCAGAAGAATCAAGATTGTTAAAATGTCCATATTTCCCCAAAATATTTTATTGATTCAATGCACTCACTACCAAAATTCTAGTAACATTTTTCACAGAAATAAAAAAATCCTAATATGGGATAAAAAGACTTTGAATAGCTAAAGTAATCTTAAATTAAAAGAACAACATTGCAGACATCACATAACCTAACTTCAAAACACACTGCAGAGCTATAATCATGAAAGCAGCATAGTACTGGCTTAGGAACAGACACACACACCAATGGAACAGAATAGAGAGCCCAGAAATAAGTCTATGCATTTGTACTCAACTGATTTCAACAGGGTACTAAGAATACACAATGAGAAAATGATGGTCTCTTTAAAAAGGATGGGACAAGTGAATATCCATATGCAGAACAATGAAATAAGACCTTTATCTTACACAATATACAAAAATAAATTCAAAAAGAATTAAAGACTTTAACACCTAACACTCAAAGAAAACACGGGAAAAGTTTCATGACCCTCTATAGCTTGACGATGACCTAGACAATCATTTTTTAGAATATGTAGTCAACAAAGAAGAGACAATCTTCTAAATGGGAGAAAATGTTCACAAGCCACACATCTTATATGGGGTTAATATCCAAAATAAGTAAGAGAGAGAGGGAAGAAGAAGAAGAAATAGAGGGGGGAGGAGAGAGGGAGGGAGATGTACTCTTATAAGCATATTATTACAATATTATTCACAATAATAAAGATATGGAATCAATCTAAGTATCCATCAACGAATGAATAAAGAAAATGTGACATATATATCTACATATATACCTACATATCTATATATATAGACAAATTCTTCAGCCTTAAAAAGAAGGAAACCTTGCCATTTGTGAAACATGGATGAACCTAGAGTACGTTATGTTAAGTAAGTCAGGAACAAAAAGTCAAACACTGCATGATCTCACTTACATAGGATCTTAAAGAGGCAAACTCACAGAAGCAGGGAGTAAAATGGTTGTCACCAGGGGCAGGGGAAGGGGAGAAAAGATGGAGGATTAGGATATGTTGATAGAAGGGTACAAACTTACAGTTAGACAGGAGGAATAGATTCAAGAGATCTATTATACATCATGGTGACTGTAGTAAATAATGATCTTTTTTAAACTTACATTTATTTTCCACCTGCTTTGAGCTATGATAAATTTTATAATTATAAACAAATTCTAAAAAAAAAAAAAAAATTCTAAGCCAAGAGTATATCACCAAAATTTACTATATTTGATATAAAACAGGTTGAAAACCTTTAAAATGGTAAAAAAAAAAAAAAAAAGTTTTTACATTTCTATAAAAGTTTTATTCTTAGATGAAGCTAATATGATAATACATTAAAATCTGATTATTTACTTTTACATTTCTAGTTGTGGAAATAATAGAAATCTTAATAATGAAACATGTTCCCAAATATACAAATTCAGTGAGGTGGGGGTAACCTTACCATTTTTGCTGACATCCAGTTCCCTGAGATTAATAAGATTTGCAATGGATGATGGTAACGTTGTTAAGTCATTGTCTGGCAAACTCAGTTTGTGTAGACACTGGCAGTTAAAAAGTTGCTATTGGAAAAACAGGAAAAGATTTTGATTATCTTTTAAGTTTCCTTAAGTTTTTCATATGCCAATTTTATACAAATGACCTTTATTAGTCATATTAAGTCTAAATAAGATATAACTACATGAATACCAGAAAAGATCTTTCACTGTTCTGGTTATGCTATTATAGGTCTGAGTACATCTGAATCACTGAAGATGATTTAGATCCTCATACTTCTACCCTAAGCAAATTATACTTAATGAGAATAAGTACATGGCTATATTCTCTATTGAGGCAGCCAAAAAATAAGTAACTGTTACATATGATAAAGTCTGGAGCTTGTCTGTCAAGCAACCTCATTCCAAAACAAAGTCATGTTTAAGAAAAGAATTCTTCCACAAATGTAAAATTGTTAGGTATCACATAAATAAATGATTCAATTACTTGCACTATTATAGCGATCTTTCTCTGTTTTCACACAACCTCCAGACTGAGACCCTAGTGGTTGTGATAGGGAAGGAGGAAGAGTCTTCTATATTCTCTAGAACTGGCTATGGAAGACAAATTACTTGTGGAAGAAAAATACACAAGAAAAAAACAACAAATGACAAAGCACACTGTACCACAACCTAGTTATGAAATCCACATGCAGCTGACAACCTTTAATATTTTATCCACAGCACTTACAGATTTCTCTATAAAATTACCTAGGACAGCAATGGCTTTCAAATGTTTTTACTGCTGGTCATCAGGGAAAAAAATGCCTCTTGCACACTGTCACCCAATGTGTTCACACACATAAAAAAATCTAAAATATTATTTCATGAAACAAAGGCTATATGCAACATGCTCTATTTTCTATTATATTATAGTTAGGGTTGTCAAATTCAATACAGGATGCCCAATTAAACTTGAATGCCAGATAAGCAAGGAATAATTTTTAGTACAAGTATATACTACATATTACACATTTATATTAAGAAATATTTCTTGTTCATCTGAAAATTCTTACTTTACTAAGTGCTCTACATTTTTATTTTCTGTTTCTCACAGTGCAAATTGCAGTTCATTTCTCAAAATGCTGGTCACACATACAATCATTTTATTTTTGTTTATTTGTTTGTTTGTGAAATGGGGTCTTACCATGTAGCCCAAGCTGACCTTGAACTTACTATCCTCCTGCCTAGGCCTCCTTAATGCTAGAATGCACAGCCATAAATTGTTTTATAGGCCACCGATGGGTCTCTGCTCACAACTTCAAAAAGTCTACTGTTTGGGTAGCTAAAGATCCTAACAATTAAATTAAAGCCATTGCAGCTTTATTCATAACACACAGGAAACTAATGACAGGAATGCAAGGAATGTGGCTCAAGTGTCAGAGCACCTGCCTAGTAAGTGCGAGGCCCTGAGTTCAAACCCTAGCACCACCAAAAAAAAAAAAAAAAACAGAATGAAAGGAAAAGAAAAAGTACCCTTGTGTGGCTCAAGCATTAGAGCGCCTGCTTTGAAGCCCCGAGTTCAAACCCCAATTCCACCAAAACAAACAAACAAAAAAAAAAAGTATGCTAAAAAATTTTTAAGAAACAAGGTAATAGTTTAAGAAAGGATTTCATGCCAATAAACTTTCTACTTCCAACTATTATGAGATGTCAAAAACATAAGTTCTCCAAAACCTTTCCAAACAAACTGTGCATAGAGAAAAAGTTGCTAAACAATAAGCAATGATGTATCAACTAAAATGACAACTACCTCAATTACAACAATGCACATCAATGTCTTGTGAAAACTAGAAAAAGATGGCATAATTTTAGTTGTCTAGTTTAAATCTGTTGCCTCCAGAAATTGCATAGTGTCAGTTATATACCTTAGTGGCTACAATATAATGGGAGTAAATGCATATTTTTAAATTATTTGCACAGTATTCCAAGTAATTAATTTGAACACAGGTTTAAAAATCAATTTTAAATTTTTTTAATTGTGCTGTGTATCTTAAGGTAAAATGAAACCCCAAAAATGGAAACAACACATCTACATATGTACAGCATTATAACATCTGGAATATAAAATTTCTAGGCATAGGAATCACCAAAAGTAATTCCCAACAGTAGTAACATACCTTTGGAAGCTCTTCAATCTGATTAGCATCTAAATAGAGTTCCTCCAAAGTTTTTTCAAAGGTAAAAATCTCTTTGGGAACCTGTTCCAAACTACAATGAGAATAATCTAGAGTAGTGACAGTCTCCTCTTCCCCTCGTAGACAGCGACATGGTACCAACCGCACAAACAAACTTCGTTTTGTAGTCATTTTTAGATACTGCAATATTCAAATAAAAATAAATTTAATTAAAACATAGACATAACAATTTTCAGAACAAATTAGTGTAATTCATTTATCACAATCACATGTTACAGATAGACAATACCTCTCCCCCTTACTACACACACCCACAGGAAACCATTTGACATTGCTTTAGTATCAGTATCTGTAGCTACTGGATTTCAAATTAAACTCAAGTCCTTTAGTACGTTATAAAACAATTCAGGAAGTTACTAATTATATGCTTCTACAAAACACATGCTTTATGAGTCCACTGCTTCATTCTCAAAAAAAAAAAAAAAAAAAAAAAAAAAAAACCACACTAGTACAGCAAAATCTTTTTTGGCTCTAAAGTTCTATATTTCTTGGCTAAGAACTTCATTATGTGCAGTTTTGAGTAAGAAATGAGAATGCAAAAACATTTTTAGATCATCCTAACCAGATATCAGGGATTAACCACCATTTAATTTTCCTATGATTCTCCTGCGTAAAAATTCCCATTTATCCAAGTGTCCAAATATTCACCTTACAGTATTTCTAAGAGCTTAAAGGTTTTAAATGTGTTCAAGGTTGCACACTCAATCATAAACCTGCTTAAATAAATTATAGACTTCAAATTAACTGAGTAAAAACAAGCCAATTTTGAATTAGTAAAAATTTTCAAATACAATTTTAAGTATGTATACAGGTTAGTTCCAACTAGAATAAGATTACATTAGCAAAGAAAGACCTACTAAAATAAGTAAGAATGGTTGATAATTAAGTGTTATCAATTCTTGGTACATAAATGATAAATTCTTGCCCTAGCCAGAGACCCAAGGTATTAGATTACTTCTAACTAGGACCAAGCTCAAGTTAAATTTAGCAAAGCTTCAGGCACAAAAAATAAGGAAGTATCAAAAAACCCAGTAACCAAGATAAATACCTTAATATAATTTTTTAAATTTTTATTTGATTTTTGACTTATCATACAATGATACAAGGGGGTTTCATTGTGATAACTCTATACATGCATACAGTGTACCTTGAACAAGTTCACCCCCTCCATTGTACTTCCATTCCCCCTTCTTCAAACAATGCTTCAAGGGTTTCATTACGCTGTCTTCATATGTATGTAGCATACTTCCATCCTTCTCACCCCACAGTATCCAACAATTTTTTAATTACTGAATAATAATCTATTTATGAGCAAAATGCCAAACTTCAAAATAAAGACAAGTTCAGCATTACTGATTTTTCCTTATGCCTCAGGATCCAATCTTCAAGGCACTGCACTAACTCTTCTATTCCAAATTAAATAGGCTGGGCAACAGGTAGGATAAGTTTTCCCATGCAATTTTTTAAAAATCTGACTTTCCTCAATCACCATATGACAGTCACTGTGCTTAATTCTTTAGATAAACTATACGTATATTCTTATTTCAATCTCATTAAAACTTTCTAAGGCATGTCTTATATATTTCCATTTCTCCATATATACTATCCTCAATATATAAGATGTATTTGAACTATAGCTTCAAATACTTTGTGTATCAATAGGTCTTTGCTACATACTACTAAAGAATTTACAAAAAGAAACTAAGAAGTCAAACATCAAGTGTTTCTATCTAGGGCTTGAAGATGTTGCTGGGAAGTACAGCACTAGCCTATCACATGCAAGCCCCTGGGTTTGGTCCCCAGCATTGCAAAAAAAAAAAGAAGTTCATATTTAACATCTTTGTCAACAAATAAATATCTAGAAAAGCTTACTGAATACTTATTAACAATCTATGGTTATATAAGTATCTAAAGGATTAAACAATTCCTCTAATAAGTATATAGAACTGCTGGCTCACTTTGCTTGTTGTCAGCCATGAGGTGAGTTGCTCTGCTTCTCCACATGCTCCCTACCATGATGCTCAGCCTTGTCGTAGGCCCACATGGAAGCCAGCCTACCATGTAGTGAAATGTCTAAAACTGCGAGCCAAAACAAATCCTTCCTCTCTTGAAAACAACAACAACAAAAAAAAAAAAAAACAGCTGGTGGAGTGGCTAAAGTGGTAGCGCACCTGCCTAGCAAGCATGAGGCCCTGAGTTCAAGCCCCAGTACAGAGAAAAAAAAAATAATAATTTAATTGCCAAAGGGGAGATTTAACTTATACTTGTTTGCTTGAGATTTTCAAAATTACAAAACATGTAGTTCTCATTCTAGACATTTAAAAAATATAATTGGTTCTGAGTTAGAAGGATACTTGAGAACAATAGGAAAGAATTCTGCCTGCACTGACCAGCTTGGTAGCCACTAGTCACATATGGTTATTTAAACTTATACCCATTGTTAAATCAAATAAAATTTAAAATGTAATTCCTCAGTTACATTTTATTTCAAATGCTCAATAGCCACATATGTCTACTGACTAGAGTGGGCCAAACAGATACAGAACACTTCCATTATTACAGGAAGTTCTACTACATAGAGCTAATTTAATATCTCAAATTATGTTTCTGGCATACCATATCATCACAGTTACATGTATGGACTTAATATAATTTGATATTATCTAAGAACTTGAAAGGTGTGACCTAAAAAAAACTCATTCCCCAGAAACCATTCTGGATTTAGAAATATAATGCCTAAGAATAAAGGATATGAAATATTATTAGCAAATATATTAATAAGAGCATATTTATTTGATGTGTGATATAGGGCACCTGAGGTATTAGCCCACTTACAGAGTAACTGTTAAAAGAAAATGAAACAACCTCCAAGATTTTTCTAATCCTGCTACAGAGGGACACAAATTGTAGAACTTCTGAGAAAGGACAATGAATTCAGAAAAGGAATTAAATGGATACTTAGTGCTCTAGGAAGTGGCACAAACTTTACAACTCAAAGGAAAACTTCCTATTTTCCTATGAGGAGAGCACTTTAGACCTCAGATTAAATTCAGGTGTTTTTATTTTTGTTTTGAGACAGGGCCTCATTATGTTGCCCAGGCTGGCCTCAAATGATTCTCCTGCCTCAGACTTCAGATTAAACTTGAGCAGGTACAAAACTAATATAAAAATGGACCCCATTCTATAAAGGTGTGCAGATGAAGTGGTGCAGAATAAAAACTGCTGACTTTTTTTAAAAAGTCTTTATCTCTGAGGGCAGAAGGGAATAGTACCATGTAAGAGAAAAGTAAAAAAGTAAAAACACAAAGACATCCTCTCTAACACAAAATTCAAGAAAGTAATCCACAGGAAGAAAGCCTAGCTGGTCTAATGAGAACTGAGCAACACGGGGACTGCTAATTAAGATTTTAGGAAAAGAAGAGCTACTTTAGAAGATCTTCTAATCACAATGGGAAAAAAAAGATCCAACCTAGAAAAGGGGCATAATAAACAGAAAACTTTTTAACAAAAGGAATTAAAGCTACTTACCACTGGGTTGAATTTATCTCCCTGATGTTTCTTAATTGAGCCAACATTCTATTGAAAGCAAAAGAGAACCAAAATTAACAATAAAAATGGATATTAACAACTAAGAAACATCTCTTCTAATTTCTAATTTACACCAAAAGCTAAATTGAAATTTAAAATATTAACCACTATAAATTGAAAATAGGCCCAAATAGTCAAACCAAAATATTAGCTTCTTAAAACTACATGGGCATATCTGGTCATACAAACTTGGTAACTTCTAAATAAAAGACTGTAACAAATGAATTGTTTTTATACATTTATAAACTACTGAAAGTCTCATCTATCAAAAACAAATACCCTTTTACCTACCATTAAAATGCCATGTATATGAGGCTACAGAGAAAAAAAATTTTCCATGCGAATAAATTCTAATCCTCAATTATATGTGGATCTAGTAGCTTTTAATGGCTCTACATGACAGGCAACTGTTAACTGCTCATAGAATTTATTCCTCTTTTTAAGAACTCTTGACTATTCAGGATGATAATGGACCCAGCCAAACACCTACTTCTGAGCTTTCCAGATCAGTACGAGTGGACAGGGGAGAAGTAATAGTAAGATCAAAGACTTATTTATCTGCTTTCAGGGTTGAATGGCAGTTGCTTTCCTGATAAATGGGAACAAATGTGTCTGAAACTACTAGTCTTTCATTTTTCTGGCCTTGAATCTGTAAATGATGTCCAGTGCTGCAACAACCATCCTTGTACCATTAAGTCAACAAAAAGGAGGATTAAAAGCCTGTCAATACAGAAAGGTGACAAAGTAGAAAACAAAACAAACTGGCAGTCTCTAACAGAACTGCTGAGAACCTAAATTAATGCTAACTACTGCCTACTTCTGGATCTATAATGTGATAAAATCAAATCCCCTATATGCTTAAACCATTACCAGACTCTAGTTGCAACCAACACATTAGTTGAGACAGTGAAGTCCAAAAGAAGGGTCTTAATAAAAGCATATATATTAGTTTCTTGGAGGCTGAGATCAGGAGGATATCAGTTTGAGGCCAGCAAAAATAGTTTGGAAATGTCATCTTCAAAAAAAAAAAATAACCACAACAAAATGGACTGCAGGTACGGCCTCAAGTGGTGGTAGAGCTTTGCAAGCATGAAGCCTTCAGTTTACACCCCAGTCCCACACCCCCCCAAAAAAACACATATATATAAAATAATCTTTTTCTTAAAAATTCAATGATATCTATAAATATATTTCAGAATTTTACAGTCATCCTTAATATATCAAGCTATTTATCTCTGTGCCAAATGGTTTAGGACTGCTGAATTATTCAGCCTTCTCCATGAGTTCTACATATATTGCATGCCCCAAACAAATACCTTGTACACAGTAGGCAAAGATAATCACTAAATCTTTTATCATTTTGTGTATTTCCACATATAATGCAATAGTCTGGTAGAATAGAGCTGCCAGTAAACTAAAAGGGAATAGTATCATGGTAGAAGAAGGTTGGAAATAAGAGGGATGCGATGTTTGTGTTTAGAGAATTCAGTTTGAAATACCTAAAAGAGATCTGAGTAGAATCCTGAGTAGGTAGGTGGATATGGGCATTCAGAGATGTGAGGAAAGAACCAAGCTGGGGATATAAATGTAAAAGTCAGCTGCTTACAGATAATATTTAAAGCAACATAATTAGGTAAAATATAAAGTATGAAGATAGAAAAAGAGAAATCAGAAAAAAGGAAGATAGAAAAGTTGAACATAGAAAAAAGATTATTCATGTAGTTTTGCTATACAGGACATTGGGAAACCAAACCAGTTGCCAGAGCAGAGTATTAGTCAAGAGATAAAACAGTGGAAATGTAAATAGGTAAGAATAATCTAGAAGACAAAAGAGACAAGGTCAATGATAAATTTTTGTAATTGGATTTGAGCAACCATTCATAAATCACCCTAGTAAAACCTATTATTAAAAAAGCTGCTAATGAAGAAGAAAACAGAACAAAATAAACCTTAGGTGCAACTGTATAACTAGCTGAATAAAATTCACTCAGGAGGCCCAAAGGTGTAGAGCTTATTGGTAGAACACTTGTCTAGTACACATGAGACCCCAGTATCATGAATAAAATTCACTTAGAGAATTTTTTTTAAAAATACAGATTACCACATCCTCTTTCTAGATACTCTGACTCAGTAAACTAGGTATAAAACTAAATATTCTTTATCATGAACAAATGCCCATGTGATTCTTGTTTACCACACACAGTTTCAACATAACTAATACATGGTTATTCTTATTTGATCTATATTAAAGTCACCATTCTTTAGTCATCCTCATTCTCAAATGTGGATTATTTTGGCTGAACTCTCAGTGTAAAAATATAAGAACTGGGAAGTAAAATCACTATAAAGGTTTTTGTTTTGTTTTGTTTTTTGTTTTTTTTTTTTAAATAGTACATTACTCTAGTTATTGAAATGGCATGCCGGCCTTAGTCACAGATTTACTACATGCAGCTTTAGCCAAGCACAGTCAAAAGATAATTTTTTAAAAATCAAAAGAAATTTCAAAACCAAAAAATTTTAATTCCTACACATGCATTATGCAGCTGACTTGATGCAGAGAAGCTCTCAGCCAGTCCTGTGTGTTATCATCAGTTGTGATCAAATTCTTGTGATTTGCTGTTTTCCTGTCCTGAATTTTGTGAAAATCTACCTCCCAAAATGCAAATGGTCTCCAAACAGCAAAGTAACCATGATGGTAATCTCCCAAGCCAAAGGGGGCATGTAGTATGATTAACTTAAGTGATAAAGCAAAACTTAAGATTTGTTAAAGGCAGCATGTCTTTAGTGGAAGTTGTGCAGCATTATGGGGAAAATGAATCAAGCATCCACAGTTACAGCACTGAGCATTCACACCTTTAACTCAATGGTGGTCTTCTTAGAACCATATACCTATGGATATCAAGGGTCTAACACTGTGGGTCACAACTTATAGTTGGCTAGATTTAAGAGAAATCTTACATAGATGTGGTCTTTCTAAATGAGTTCCTAAGTAAAAATGCTAAACAAAATGGCTCCTCAGGCAAGCCCCAGTTATTAAATAGTACTCAGGGGTTGTATAAGATCATTTTGTTGAATCATGGATATCATAGTATTTGTTACTTTGTTTCTGGTGTATGTTCTTAGTTCTGAATTATCTTATAGACATTATCAAACTATCACTGATAAATACATAACTTTTCCACCACCTCCTCTACTATTTTTTCACAAAATGAAAGAAGAGGCAGGACCTGACAAAAAAGCTATTACATGCCTGTAATTCTAGCTACTTGGGAGGCAAAAAGTTAGTCCCCCAGGAAAAAAAAGGCAAGAAGGGTAGATAGATGGAATGATCATGTCATCAATGTCTTCCCATTTATGGCATTCCTACTTCCCCATCTACCTATATTCACATAAGATACCTAACCCCAGGCAGGGAAATTATAGGACTAGTGTCTCTCTGGAATCCATTCCCGTCCACTGATTTTGCTAGCCCAGACACAAAGGTCTTTTGTGTCCTCCCATATCCTAATTTTAAGTAGAAATCTCAGTAGATTTTCAAATGATTTCATTTATAGAAAAAATATTCTCATGTAAAATATCTAGTCTGGATTAACCCCTTGCGAAGGAAATTTGGCCAAAGTAGAAGAAGAATCTGTGGAATTCTCAGGGGCTAACAGAGTAGCTCAAGTGTTAGATCACCTGCTTAGCAAGTGGGAGGCCCTGAGTTCAAACCCCAGTACCACAAAAAAAAAAAAAAGAGGAATCTGGAATTCTTGTCTCAGTTTAGGAGGACGGAATTATCCACCCTCCTAAAGGACAACTTTAGGAGTTGCACAACTTAAGGACAAGAAAGCCTCATTATTTTTACAGAAAGTCTTTCATGTCACAATTAGAAATAAGACTGCAAGTATACTTTGTAGATATAATTAATTCTTAAAAACTTGCATTAAATCTATTCTACAATCTACAGGGAAAGAAGTGGGAGAGAATGAGGAAAGAAACAGTTCAATATGTCTTATAACCAAACTTGGGGAGGGTAAAACACTGCAGACAAGAAAGGTCTATCTAAATTTTACTTGTTCCTAGCATAGAGTTGGTTGGGTTTTTAACCAGTCAATAAAAACTGTACAAAGAGACATTTTAGGCAATTTGTATCACAAATGCATTGTTGCTTAATGTGGGAGGGATATTTAATCATGGCACTATTTCACGCCTCTAACTTTCTTATTCAGTCTTGACTGAATTTTAAACTGTTCTCCATAACACACAACCCTGTAGCAGGATTAACTTCCTTAAATGCATTCCCTCACTTCTCTTTACTTCCAAGTGTTCCTATCTATGCCAGCATAATTCCTAATCTCCTTTGTTTCTGCTAGTAACTTCTAAGTAACAATTTCTTTTCCTTCATCAATGCATTAAGCATGATCTAGGGAGCCTGATGGGAACAAAACAAGATGTTTATCTTGATAAAGAGCAAGCCTATACTTAAAAAACTAAACATTGATCTACCATTTGATCCAGCAATACCACTCTTGGGGATATACCCAAAAGACTGTGACACAGGTTACTCCAGAGGCACCTGCACAGCCATGTTTACTGTAGCACTATTCACAATAGCCAAGTTATGAAAACAGCCAAGATGCCCCACTACTGACGAATGGATTAAGAAAATGTGTATCTATACACAATGGAATTTTATGCAGCCATGAAGAAGAACGAAATGTTATCATTCGCTGGTAAATGGATGGAATTGGAGAACATTGTTCTGAGTGAGGTTAGCCTGGCCCAAAAGACCAAAAATCATATGTTCTCCCTCTTATGCGGACATTAGATCAAGGGCAAACACAACAAGGCGACTGAACTTTGAGGACATGATAAAAGCGAGAGCACACAAGGGAGGGGTAAGGATAGGTAAGACACCTAAAAAATTAGCTAGCATTTGTTGCCCTCAATGCAGAGAAACTAAAGCAGATACCTTAAAAGCAACTGAGGCCAATAGAAGAAAGGGA